ACAAGAGGAAGCTAAACTTTCCTTTAATAAGACATTCAATAATAATAAGTATAGTGCACCATCTACATCGGCTCAGGCAAAGTTTAGAGAACCAATACGGTCTGTAAATCAGCCTCAAAATTCCCAACCGCTTAGGTTTGGTTACTCAGGCCCCATGCAAAACCAGACGAGTAATAAAGCTCCAGTTCTGCGACAAAATAATTTAACCCCAGAACAGAGGCAGCAGTGGGTGCAATCCATGTTGCCATGGAAGAACTGCCCATCATCAGATCACTTTAGGGCATCTTCAGGAAATTTTAGGAATAATATACCCCAGCAACAAGCAAATCCTGCACAGAAGGTTTCAGACGTCACAATGAGATCCGTCTCTAAGCTTCAAAAACCACAGTTTGCAGCTGAGGAGCTATTCTACACATGTCCACCTGCACAATATGAACTACAATATGCTGAGGACGAGAAGAACTACGTATGAACAAAGTCTGTATGCATAATGTAGTGATTGCAACCAACAGGTATACGAATCTCCAATGAGCGACTGTGAGGTTCAGCAGGATTTTTACCAAGGTCCGATGACCTCAGACCAAAGTTAGTAAAACTAAATAACCATGATAATGTTAGTAAAACTAAATACCACCTGCCATATATTGAGCTGCCAGAATTTCAAGATAAGTTCCTTATAGATACTGGAGCCACGCGCTCTATGATATCACCTAGTGTAATACAAAACACAATTTTCGAACACCTTGTAGAGTATGAATCATTCGAGGTAAAAACAGCACATGCCATTACACAGCACGATCAAGTGGCATATCTACCACTGCTACCCGCGTTTAACAGCGATATAATTCATAAGTTCCTTATATTCGATTTCGACCCCAAATATAAAGGCTTAATAAGATTGGATTTATTTAGGACGCTATGTTGTAACATAGATATAAAAAATAGACTTTTACATACCGCTAACTCGCAGATACCAATTTCATTTGACTACCCCATTAAAAAACTCACGATTGAACCAAAATGCGTAAAAATTATAGTAGTGAAAACTAATTATTCTGATGGTCAGTACATTCACGATGATTTCATATGGTCTAACGGCTTAAAATCTTCCGCAGCTATGGTAGAGGTTAAAGAAGGAAAATTTAGAACATCTATTATAAATTTTAATTCAGAAAGACGAATAATATCTAATAATGAAAAGATATACCGTGAGGACTCTGATAGAGCTAGATGCAGTTTAAATTTCATAGAGGTTAACTCGGATATAGTGAAAGAATTACGCAAAAATTTAAATAAAATACGTACAGACCATATGAATGAAGAGGAGAAACATGAAATCACTAAGATTTGCTATCACATCTTCTTCTCTGAAAATATCCCACTTTCTTTTACGCATGCAGTTAAACATCAGTTAATACTGACCGACCAGACCCCGATATTTGTAAGAAGTTATAGATAAGCCCCACAACAACGCAAAGAAATACAGAATCAAGTAGACAATCTTTTAAAACAAGGTATTATTCGTGAAAGTATATCCCCATGATCATGCCCTGTTCATATTGTCATAAAAAAACCGGACGCACCAAGTAAGGTAAAATGGAGGTTAATCATAGACTATCGAAGACTTAACGATAGAATAGTAGAATATAAGTACCCACTTCCCAACATTAGTGTTGCCCAAAATCAGTCTTGGTCTTGCAGTCTTGGTCTTGTTCTTGCATTTTTGCAAGACCAAGACCAAGAACAAGACCGCCTCTTTTTAGCAAGACCAAGACCAAGACTGACCGTGCAAGATTTGCGCAAGAACAAGACTTAGCTTGCGAGACTCTTGCGTCTTGCAGTTAGGACTATGTGTCGTTTCAGGTAGTATAGGAGTTCGGGTATACGCTTAGGGACTCTATGAGACGCAAAAAATATACTGAAAAAAAATTGGAAAATTGGACTTATGCGCATTACGAACAATACCATAAATATACATAGCGAATGAAAATATCCATTAAAAGAAAAAAGAGTGCATCCCTAGTTTTGACCATCGGCACTTTGATGGTGCGCGGCGTCTTGTTGTCGGCGTCATCAAAGGTCGGATACTGACCTGTCAATGAAATTGTGTAGTTATTCGAAAGTACAAGGTCAAGATACACGTGCCGGCGGCTACTATTGATATCACATACAATCGTCGCCGCCGCGCCGCACGCACTACATTTGACACTGTTTGATTGCCGCCACAGAGTACATGTTTCAAAGAATAAAATAAGTTTCCAGATACTCAGAATGGACACGAATACATTATCTTGATCTCGCAAGAAATCTTGTAATTAGATAATAGGTAAGTATCATAATAATTTATTCTAGTAAGTAATTATTATAAAATTAACTATACGGATTTATAATAATTACTTACTATTATTTTTATTATTATTACCTAAAAGATAAACATGTTCAGTAAGTTCAATGTAAATCTCGACTTTTGCAAGTGTGTGTTTTTAAAACACAAAGTGCTCGAATATGTCGTCACACATTTGATAAATATGGTTGACACCATAGCACTTTTAAAACACTTGAAATGTGTAAAAATGGATCTGGATCTTGTCTTCAAGGCTTAGTTATTAAGGAGTTGGAGGGGTACCTAGGCAAACCCAGAGCCGTCATCTCGGAAGACATTTTAGACTGTTGGAGGACGCATGAGACAAAATATCCGATTTTATCGAAGATGGCCCGTGATTTTCTTTTAATACCTGCAACTTCAGTACCTGCTGAGAGATTATTTTCTAAAGCATCAATCGTAATTAGAAAACATAGAAATAGGTTGTGATGAGTCAGCCAGATGTTTACTTTGTATAGCTTTGTCAAAAGAATAAATAAAAGTAACAGTAATGTCAAAGCTGTTGTGTACATACTGTGAAGTAATTTAATTTGAATCGTATTTTATTTTTTATTTAAATAAATGGTATATTGTATAACTCTTTTATTCCATTTCATATATGGTGAGGGTCCATCAATCTCTTTCTAGAGAGATAATGTTATTTAAAATACAGTGTAGTTATTGCCATTAATTTGTTTTTATATGTATGTTTAACCATGTTTTAGCACATGTAAGCTTAATAAATGTAAACGTTTATTAAGAAACTGACGCCCGTGGCCGTGGGACACGGTAGATAGCTCAGTTGGTTAGAGCATCGTCACGGATCGCTTAGGTGGTGGGTTCAAACCCCACCCGGTGTCGGTTGATTTTTCGAATTTCTCATTAAATGATTAGACATTTATTAATATGGTTGGTCTTTACTATGGCTATGTTAATTCAAGCTCAATATGTACCTACTCTGTTAAGTTGTTCTAAGATCTAAAGTAACGTTTAATAAATAGTAATAGGCTAATAGGTTATTGCGAGACTTGCGAGACTCTTGCTGCAAGACCAAGACCAAGACCAAGACTGGGAGCACTATACCAAGACCAAGACCAAGACCAGGTGTATTGGCGCAAGACCAAGACCAAGACTTGATAAGTCTCGTCTTGTTCTTGCATTTGGGCAACACTACCCAACATAGATGACATCTTAGACAGACTGGGATGCGCCGAATATTTCACAACCTTAGATCTGGCTAGCGTCTATCATCAGGTGGAGATGCACCCTGATGACATAGAGAAAACTGCATTCACAACATAGAAAGGACATTACGAATTCTTTCGAATGCCATTCGGTTTAAAAATGCACCCAGTACTTTTCAACGGCTCATGGACCACATTCTTAGAAGTATTAACAACGTTTTCACCTATCCCAATGACGTCATAATAATATCAACGTCAATGCAGTAGCATATAGAAAAGCTGAAACAAGATTTTGAAAGGTTTAAAAGACATAATCTCAAAATTCAGTTAGACAAGTCAGCGTTCCTTCAAAAATACGTCACATTTTTAGGACATGAACTAACTAATCAAGGACTAAAACCTTATCAGGATAAAATTAAAGCGGTTTTAAACTTCCCACTACCAAAAACACAGTAAAAGACAATTAAAAGCTTTTTAGGACTAGTAGGCTACTACAGAAAGTTCATAAAAGATTTTGCCAAGCTTACAAAACCAATGACCTTATGTCTAAAGAAAAATAGTAAAGTTATACACTCGTCGGAATTTTTGGAATCCTTCAATAATTGCAAACAGATTTTAACCAATGCACCTATCCTGCAGTACCCAAACTTTGACGAATCATTCATACTGACAACAGACGCATCGAACGTAGCCCTGGGTGCAGTACTGTCTCAAGGAAAAATAGGTTTAGACAAACCGGTAGCATACGCATCGAGGACACTTTCGGATGCAGAAGCGAAATACTCGACAATAGAAAAGGAGCTCTTAGCCATCATCGTTTTGACATATATACTGACCATAGACCCCTGACATGGCTAATGTCACTAAAAGACTCTAATTCTAAATTAACTAGGTGGCGACTTAAACTCGCTGAATATGACTACATAGTCGTTTATAAAAAAAGGACGGCAAAATACCAACGCAGACGCTCTCTCCAGAGTCAAAATTTATCATAAGAGCATCGATTCACTAGCAGTCAATTTAGATGACAATTTTGACGACGACATCACAAATAGAATTTTCGACAACATACGACAAGAGGTAGATACGGAGGCAGAAGAAATACAACAGCCCGTGGATAATAATGACAACAACAGCGATAGCAACGATAATAACGTGACAATTAGGCCCGACGTACAACTTCCTCTAACAGACATGGAACCCGATAGTATGAGTATCGTTACACTCGATCCTGATCACTTAGTATCGACAAACCATACGCAACCTGACAACGAAAACAATCTTATCAGACGCAATCGACAGACAACTAAAACAATTCCATATCAGGTCTACTCCAGGATCAACATACAACAGAGTAGAAAATAGGTCTACTAATTCTAGAACAGTAATTAAAGACGTATTTATTCCAGACAATAACACAGAGAAGAAAATTATCCAATTTTTAAAAGAACACACTATTGCTGATTGTGTATTCTACTGCTCTTTTTATAATGAAGAACTATACCTAGCATTCTCCAGAGTTTGCTAGGTAAAGTTCTTACACGACGCTAATTAATGACTGAGGCCCTAAGCCTTTATGGTTCTGTATTCGACAGGCAGTGCCACCTTCCTCGCTATAATAGAGAGTTTCTCAAAATTCGCCCTAGCAATACCGTTGAATGCCACTAGTAGTGTACATATAGCTGAAGCTTTATTTCAGGCGTTCTCAGTTTTAGGAATTTCTCATAAAATTACAATGGATTCAGACAGTAAATTTGATAATGAAGTTATAAAGGAGATGTGCGCTTTACATACTATTAACATTCACTTCACGACTCCACACAATCCAAATTCGAACTCACCCATAGAACGTTTTCATTCGACTATAGGAGAGATTATCAGAATCCAACGAATGACATCCAATGAATTCAATGATGATCCCATACAATTAATTATGAAATTTTCAGTCATTGCTTACAATAACTCAATCCATTCGGCAACAGAATATACTCCACACGAGTTACTATTTGGACATACAGATTCTAGAAATCCACTAGAGTTACATTATCCTAAGCACTTTTACCAGTACTATGTAATCAAGCACAAAATGTATGCAGATGAAAGAAAAGATGCAGAACTTCACATGCTTCTCTATAAGTTGCGCATTCCTGACCGTTGACAGGTTTAAGGTCTTTATATCCTGTAGGACCCCGAACATCGTGCAGCGGTAATCGTAAACAGAAACATTCAAAATTAGTTACATGGACGGTATACACACGACCAAGGGCATCTGAAGACTTTACACCGGGCCAATTTGCAACAGGCGCGCCTTGAACACGGCGTTTCCACTCCTTCCTAGATGTGTTCCAAGTGTAATAGCGGGGGACTTCAGAATATAACAACGTTTTTGCAAAGGGGTCGGTTTGACAAAGTTGAAAGAAGGCTGTTAGTGTAGTTTTTGGTGGTGATGCAATTCTTTCTTGGAAATTTCTTTCGGTGAAATATACACGCTCTCCATTTTCTAAGTGCACAGCAAGGTGAGTAACTGTTGGGTGCCTTTCGTGTAAAGGGAAGCCAAGGAGATGCCACGCTGCCTCGTTACTGCTGACATAACGCCCTGCTTGAAAGGTCTGTACTTCATTAACGGGATTCGCCTCACCTTCACTCCTGAGATTAAATATTGCTTGGTCGCTTCCTTTATTTATGTACTTACAGATATACTTGATTGCGCGGACAGAGCTACATGCTTCTACATTAATGTGGGCATTAAACATTTTACATAGAATGGGTGAATACGGGACAATCCAGCTGTTATCTAAGGTTTCGAACGCTCCAGAGCGAGATTTGATTGTAACTTTCCTGCCACCATCTTTGGGAGCTCTGCGTCTGTATAAAGGGTAGCCATTGTCATTGTGCACTGTTTCTTTTAATAGCTGTTTAGGGAATTTCTTTGTACATTTTCCTTCTTTCATATATGGCGATATTGAATTACGTGCTCCACATGGACCGTGAATCATATTTCGGACGATGGTATCATACAATTCTTTATCTTGCTCAGGATCCGGAATCTCGGCGCTTATTATGTCGTCTATTTGGCTGGGCCGCAACTTTTCTTTAAGCCATATTAGAATGTGGGCATGCGGTAATCCTCTTTTTTGCCATTCAATTGAATACATGAAGCACTGCACCTCTCCGAAAATTTTCCCTTTGTTAATTACATACATTAATTTTTGTACGTTTAATCTAAATACTCTAGCAACTATATCGTGTCTGTCAGTACTTTTTTGGCCCGGCATTAGCTCCTCGGTTATTTCTTTTCATGTGGGATTGCAAGTAAAATTAACAAAAAGATCAGGTCTTCCGTAAGTTCGTATATAGGCGAATGCGTCTTGTGTGTACTCATGTAGGTAGCGGGGACTGTTAACGAATGATGAGGGCAGAATTACCATTTTACCTAAATCTCTGGGGCTTACATTGGCGTCGCTAGAAACTGCATCTTGTAAATGTATATAATTCTCGACGCGCAGATTTTTTTGATTTAAAGATATATATAGGAGACGTTCACTTTCTAGCTTCACATACATGTCTACCAAAAATTGATGAAATAATTGTCTACACCGGGCTAAGTGATTAAAATCATTTTCTCGCAACATTATATGATATGCATAAAAATCCATACATGACACTTTTTTGTTCGGAGTAGGCTCCTTTGTGACCGGGTTAATGAGCGAAATTTGAAAATGATAACCCTCTTGTCCTTTGCAATACATCAATGGGTATTGCAGAGCGTCATAAAACTTGTGTGTATCGGCTACCCGTTGCAGCGTATCATCACGTGCTCGCAAGACAATGTCTCGTGAAGAAAATTTATCACCACTAATTACGGCTGCTATTTCGTTTATCAAAGGTGCATTGTAGCGCCTTTCATGCTCTCCTCGAGGGGTCCGATCTGCGTGAATGACGACTTTATAATCCTCTTCAGGTAGGTTTTCTAAAGCAGTTTTAAATGTTTTGACTAAAATATTACGTTCATGCAAGAATCTTTGAATTTTGAACACTGTGTCTCTCTCAACTCCCTGGATAAATTGGCAGCGACTGTCTACCTCAATTTCTTCGTCACCCATAAAATATACTTGTAAAAGTTTATGCTGTTCATTTTCAGCTGAAAAAAGTGAACCTATTCTATGATAAATTTGCCCTTGCACCGTAAATGTAGGCGAAAATCCCGGCATTATTATTTCCCGGTCAACTCCGAAGGACGTCATTTGAAAGTATGAGTTATATTTCCGGATCCTGTTTATAAAGTGCCGTGACTCATTAGCAACATATAAAAAGAGAGTTTTCAAAGGTTCTTCTGGTTCCCCAAGTAACGGAAGAGACACTTTGTCATTGGAACAGCACATGCCTGCGGTCTCATCTTTCCATTTTAAAGCGCTGCAAAATCGACACGCCTTGTCCATCGGTCCGATAATAACTAACCTGTGATTTTTATAATCAATCAACGGATCATAATTGAATGCTGCATCATTAAAAACCGACCAATTGTTTCTTTGAAAATTTTGTCGACGTTCAGCTTGGAGCTGTGCATTTGCATCTCTTCGCGCCTGTGTCTGTTCTGGTGTTTCAGATGCCCTTATAGTAGATTGACGTTCAGCTTTGCTCAATGAGTCTGTGTTGAGTTTCATCAGGTGTTTCCGCAGCAAAATTTATTAATTTAATTTGATTTAATTTAATCTATTAATTTAATTTATAGTTTCAAAATAAATAAATAAACAAAAACAGGGAAGTGATTAATGTGTGGACAATTAATATTAACGTTTCGTTTGTGTTTATGCATAATTTATATATGAACTTTAATATTTATATATGCATATATATATATATATATATATATATATATATATATGCATATATAAATATATATATATATGCATATATAAATATATATATATATATATATATATATATATATAATTATCAAATATATATATATATATATATATTTGATAATTATATAAGTATATATACACATATATATGTGTGTGCTCGTCTTGTATATATGTATAGTATAGATGTTTAGTATTAAATATAACACATATAGAATACTTTATTATATTACAACTTTTATTATTTTTTGATTTAATTTTTGTAAATTTGTTTAATTTGTAAAGTTGTTTACTTTTCTTTTGTTTCAACAATGAAAACATGCATAGTTCTTTTAGTATTACCCGTTCTTTTAGTACAACTCTGGGAGAGGCCGCTGATTCCTAAGATACAGACTCGTCTAGTTTAGGAGTCAGAGACTTCATAAAATTTCTTGTGATATATTTTTGATAATAAAGAATTATTATTATTATTATTGGGGGTTATCTATAAAGTTTTCTCATCTGGTTGGGCTGTTTAAATATATAATTATAAACGAACTATATAAACATACATAAATATCAATAAAATAGTATAAATACATAAAAAATACATAAATATATTAAAAAAAACCCAACCAGATGGAAGCCCTCGGCAGGGGAGACCAAACGGCCGAGGGTTAGGGGGAAAGGGAAAGAAACCGGCGGACGATGCGGGCGGTATCGAGGAGCACCGCCTTCTGCATTTGAGCTTGGAGCGGTCCGTCACGGAGTCCCAGTCGCCTCAGATGACCCGAGAGGCTGACTGGGATTAACTCGTTCGCAGAGACGACCACAGGAATAATTTCGGCCGGCAGACCACCCCACATGTCGGTCACCTCGTGAGCCAGGTCCAGATATTTTGTCAACTTATCTGTTTCGGCTTTCACGAGGTTCTCGTCATAAGGAATGGTAATGTCGACCAAAAATATCCTTGACTGTGCCCGGTCCATCAGCACAATATCAGGCTTATTCGCAAGAATAGTCCTGTCCGTGATGATGGCCTGGTCCCAGTAGAGCCTGGCGCGGTCATTTTCGAGCACGGCTTCCGGCAAGTAATTATAATATGGCAGTTTCCGATCCACGAGACCGTATTTCAGAGCGAGCTCCTGGTGTAGAATCCTGGCTACTAGGTTGTGTCTGTGCAAATACTCAGAGTTAGAAAGCGCCGAACAACCGGAGATGACATGCCTAAGTGACTCACCGGGATGGCGACAAGCTCGACAGATGTCGACGGCGCCATCCTTTAGAATGTATTTCCGATAATTGTTGGTCTTAATAACCTGATCCTGTATCGCACAGACAAAACCCTCGGTTTCCCCAAAGAGGTCACCGAAACGTAGCCAGTGGAGGGAGGCGACTGTGTCTACGCAAGGCTCATGTAGAGCCTTGTAGAACCTCCCGTGGAGCTCCTTCTCCTTCCATACGGTCTCCCGGTCGGAAATGCTCTGTACTGCCGGGTCTTGCCATTGCTCGTTGGCTAAGTATAGAGGGGTAAGTCCTTAATCGCAAGAAATAACGTCCCTATAGAATGGATCATCCGCTCTCGTCAGAAAGTAATTACGGAGGCTGCACACTTCGCGATTATGCATGGTAAGCGCGCTTAAAAAGCCGCGCCCACCATGCTTCCGCGGCAAGTACAGCCTCATTACTGACGATCTCGGATGATGCATCCTGTGGGACGTCATTATAGTGCGGACTTTTCTGTCCAGAGCGTTCAGTTCGGTCTGAGTCCACCTGAGCATGCCAAAGGTATACATGAGAACAGGCATGATCCAACCGTTATATGCATGTGTCTTATTAACGCCCGACAAAAGACTGTTGAGTACTTTTGTCAAGCGTGCATAAAACACACCGCAAACTGACTGTTTCATGTCCGCCTCATCGATACCTATGTTCTGTGACATACCCAGGTATCGGTATGTTTCAGCCTCGGATAGGGTCTTTATGTTGATGGGCATAGATAAGTCTATGCCCTCAGAGTTAGCAACCCTACCCCTTTCGACATGGAGGACCGCACACTTATCCGTCCCCAGCTCCATTCTAATAGAATCGCTAAAATCACAAGTGATGTTTAGCAATTCCATAAGATGAGAGCGACTGGAGGCGAATAACTTGAGATCATCCATATAGAAAAGGTGGGTCACTTTTGTACCTCCTCTCCGAAGCTGAAATCTCCTCCCGGAACCCTCCAGTAAGGTACTAAGAGGGCTCAGAGAGAGGCAGAACCAGATTGGACTCAGACAATCGCCCTGGAAGATACCCCTTCATATCCTTATGTGCTTCTCCGCAGCCGTCATCCGCTCGCCTAGATGACAAAGGATCGTACTCCACTGCCCCATACACTGCCCGAGGAAGTCTCGAACTGTACAGTCAACCTTGTACAGCTACCTCTGCCCCTTGTACAGGACCCTCTTCAGCCATGAATGAGGCACCGAGTCGAATGCCTTTTTGTAGTCTATCCAGGCGGCGGAGAGGTTCCGACGGTTGCGTTTAACCACCTTGCCAATGACCGCGTCAATGAGGAGTGGTTCCTTGGTTCCACGACCGCCGCCCCGACATCCATTTTGAGCGCGCGACATCACCTGATTTGAGTTCAGGTGACGAGTGATTCTCGCGCTCAAAATGGATGTCAGTGTCTTGTATATGGTAGGTAGACACGTTATGGGGCGGTATTTGCTCGGGTCTGTGGAATCTCGGTCTTTAGGAACCAAATGAGTGATCCCAGTAGTGAAGAGGCTCGGGAGCGACTTTTGGTCGAGAGCCTCTTGAAACTGTCGGGCGAGAACAGCGTGACACACCACGAACTCCTTCAGCCAGTAGTGATGCAGTCCGTCGAGTCCCGAACTTTTCCAGTTCGGGGCCCTACGGACCGCCTCAGCTACGTCATCCGGCGTAATGATGACGGGGTCCATGGGCGTAACATTCGCACACTGACTCGCCACAACTTCCGTCCAAGGGCCCTCACTGTGGTTTACGGGCTCTGACCACAGGCCGCGCCAGAATGCGATAGTGTCGGCCTGATTCGGTGCTGGGCCCGTTCCACGTACCATTGGTCGCTCCAATGATTCATAGAGCCTCTTCTGATCACTCTGGAAGAGACGATTCTGGTTGAACCGTGTCGACCTCTCGGTATATCGCCGAATCCTCTTCCCCCAAGCAGCGATTCTCTGCTTCAGGTCGTCTATGCGCTCCGTCAGTTTTTGCGTTATATCCGGCTGGGACAAACTGATGTTTGTCCCAGCAAACGCCATCCTGACGGTGCGCATAATTCTCGGCCTATTATTGCCCGACCTGAAGCTTATCAGCCTGCCGATGAGGGCCCTTGCCTTTGCGATACAGTCCTCAATCCTTCTTCTCCAGGCTGGGATGGCGCTACTTTGTCTAGTAGCGCGTCCAGCCTTGGGAAGTTTGGCGCCATTAATACGGCAAACTGCCAGTGCGGCGCCAAAAAGAATTGAGTCCGTCTCGCAAAGGTCCCGGCTGGCTTCCAAATAGGTCACCAGCATTGGGTTGAGAGCCCTCACGACAGCCCGATTCCGCTTGCTTAGGGCTATACGGGGAAGTCGCGGTCGATTCTCGAGAGGCGTACTGCGCGTTTCCCTAATCGCCTCTTCCACTATGGTCCTCATTTGCTCTAGTTCTGCGGCGACTATTCCATCGTCGCCTGAGTCAACTACAAGGAGATCTACGGCGGCATCTACATGTGCGGGTTGCTCTGCAACTCGTAGAGCCGCATCTCCTGTCGTAGCATTTTCATTCGACAAAGGAATAGCCTTACGTCGTAGCCATTCGAGTTCGGCGTCATCAAATATTTTTGAGCACATAATGTACCGAACTCGGTCTGCCAGGTTTTGCTCGGTAACGGTAATAGATGGCTCCAGCTCAGCAACGCTCCCTGGCGACCTCCAGGCAGCGGCCCTTTGCGCGTATTTCTTAATTCCATCATCCATGAATTGGGCGTCAGTTAACGGGAGACGCCCAGACCCGGCACCGTTTCAAGGTGAGGCCATGTGCACAATCGGGCCTTTGCACCTCCAATTTTGCCGAGGCACGGCGCTAATACCTCTTGGCAAGGTGCTGACTGACTGCGCTGACGTAGCAGTTTTGTCACATAACCGTTACGTCAGCGGGCGATGGGGTCGTCACTTCCCTACGCCTATTTATTATTATTATTATTATTAGCTCTTAAGGTGGCCTGACGTTCCGCTTGTTCGAATAGCCTTTGCTGACTTTGAGCAGGTGTTTCAGTAGCTCTTAAAGTAGATTGACGCTCTACCTGTTCAAGACGCCTTTGCTGACTTTGATCAGGTGTTTCAGTAGCTCTTAAAGTAGCTTGACGCTCTGCCTGTTCAAGACGCCTTTGCTGACTTTGAGCAGGTGTTTCAGTAGCTCTTAAAGTAGCTTGACGCTCTGCCTGTTCAAGACGTCTTCGCTGACTTTGAGAAGGTGTTTCAGAAGCTCTTAAAGTAGCTTGACGCTCTGCCTGTTCAAGACGCTTTTCCTGACTTTGAGAAGGTGTTTCGAAAGCTCTTAAAGCAGCCTGACGCTCTGTCTGTTCAAGAGGCCTTTGCTGACGTTGAGAAGGTGTCTCAGATGCTCTAAAAGCAGCCTGACGCTCTGCTTGTTCTTGCCTTCTCAGTTCAGCATCTTCTAAAGATTCTAGCGATCGAAGATACTCTTGAAAGGCTGGACTTACGTTTGCGATGCATTATGAAGTAACAAAAAACCTTTTTATAAAAAAAAAACGTTAAAATGCCTAAAAGGAATTAAATTTCCTTTTAAATATTTTGTTTAAAAGCAATATTTTTTTAAAAAGCAAATCCAAAATATCTAAAAGGAATAAATATTCCTTTTAAATATTTTTTAAAATCAAAACAACAAAACCAATTCAAGACACAACACGAATCCGAAAACGATAGCCAAAAAATATCGAATCAACTTAAACCAAATCACAAAACAAATCGCAGAAAACCGAAATCGAAAGCAGTAGTCAATATAAATATAACCAACGAAAAAAAGTAAATGTATACGAAAAAGAAGTAAATGTATACGTACCGTATACGCTATCTATACTAATAATATTCCTTTGAAATATTGTTAAACAACCTAAATAAACAAAATCCAAAATCAAAGCCAGAGTCTAAATATGTATAAAGGAAAGGAATACCAACTAAATCAACAAAACCGATCTAAGAAAATACACAAATCCGAAAATGAAAGCCAATATAAATCCATTCAACCATAACCAAATCACAAAGCAAATTACAAACAACCGAAATTGAAAGCAGGTAGTCGAATAAGCTACGAAATAGAAACAATTTAAGCGTATAGGTACCGTATGCACTATAAGTTGACGCGCGGCTCATCGGCGGGTGTTAAGTACATGTCAGGAAACATTTCGTTACCGCGTTGTAAAAACCTAGTAACGACATCTAGCGGAATCAATTTAAACTATGTATACGTTAGTTAATAAGAACTCTCAAAAATATTTTTCTCATAATTTTGCACAATTTTTCTTAATGTAATACCGATTCATTCATAACCACATATAAGAACTGTATTCATTTCCGTTCAATAAATATTACTAAGGTTTATTAATAAGGCTTACTAAGAACTGTTTCTACCACAGTTAAGTAATAGTTAAGGATGACAGCGTGACAGGTGGTGATAGTATTTCTGATCCATACTTATAATCACGCCTGTAACCCTTGCGGGGTAGGCAGAGCATCAACGGATTACTTTATATCGTCTGCGAGGTTATCGCTTATTCTGTGAATTATAATGCACCAAAACGTTTGAAGAAAATCAGCTGGTGAATTTTATCGCTCTCTTCCCGGTTCTGCGTGGAAAAATACAGATCCATACATTTTTTATCTTAATTTTGGTAAAAAGACATAATAATCCAGATATTCTGACCTTCTGTGTTCGTCCATCGTACCGTCGTCCGTCTTGTAGAATCACGGTGGCGCCACCTAGCTGAATTTAATTTTGCAACATATTCGATTTTCCCACTGGAATGATATGTTTTCCCGCTGAAAAAAGTAGCCTATGTCACTCTACACTGTAGAGTATGTATGGACTGATACACCTCAGTCCCCCCCGTGACCATGGGTGCTGTAAAGTGCTTGAAACGTCGGGAAAGTAAAATAAGTTAATATACGCGAAAAAATCCGTAAAATTAGTTTTATTTAAATGTGTAGTGTTCGCGTAAATATAAGAAATCATGCCATGCCGACGCTCTGTTGCGACGTGAAAGAAGGACAAACTTGTGCAACATATTCGATTTTCCCATGGGAATGAGATGTTTTTCCGCGGAAAAAGTAGCCTATGTCACTCTACAGCCACCGAACTATCCCCATACCAAAATTCATGCCATGCCGACGCTCTGTTGCGACGTGAAAGAAGGACAAACTTTTGCAACATATTCTATTTTCCCACGGGAGTGAGATGTTTTTCCCCGGAAAAAAGTAACCTATGTCACTCTACAGCCACCGAACTATCCCCATACAAAAATCATGCCATGCCGACGCTCTGTTGCGACGTGAAAGAAGGACAAACAAACAAACAAACAAACAAACAAACAAACACACTTTCGCATTTATAATATTACTAGTATGGATTGTCTCCTTTAAGTGCCTGTTTGTAATGTCAAAATAACAGTTTTTACTAAATGCATATGAAAGTATATACGATATTTATAATTTTAAAAAAGAATTTTGTCTGCCTGTCTGTTTGTTCTGGCTAATCTCCGGAATAACTGGAATATTACTGGCAGTTAGCTAATGGTATAAGGAGTAACGTAGGCTATTCTTATTTTAGAGAAACAGGGTTTCGCGCAAAAAAAAATCAAAATACATATAATGCAATCGTAATAAATTCCACGCGGACGAAGCCGCGGGGAACAGCTAGCTATTTATATGTTATATTTGCCATGTATTAGCGTTCTAGGAGAATTCACTAGCCCTTAACATGCTGTGGGTGTCGTAAAATGTGACAGAGTAATGAAACAGTCAATGAATTGAAAAAAACTGTGATTGTCAGCTCACATGACAAAGAGCGCCAATTATGGAAAATATTCCCATATGAGGCTATTTTATGAGGGTGGCCTGTGTTCATTATCATCATC